CTCAGCTTCCTCCCCCAACTTCCCTGAGAAAGAAGGAGGGGGCAAGGCCACAGAATAGACTCTGGGAAAATAGGGTTCTTGTCCTCAGGAACATAGAACATGGAGTAGATAGTCCATTTCCAGGTTGGGCATTCTCTGAGCAAGTAAGCCTGTCCCCAAAATGGGGGTCCTCTTTGTCCTCAGCACTCACACCCTTCCCACTACTACATCTAGAAAGCCCAGGGGCTGTTCTGAGTGTCCTATGGGGACTAGGTGGCATGTGGCATGTGAGTGACTGAGAAACAGCAGGGAGATGTCCCCTCCCTTCTGGGGACACACACATTCAAAACAAGTAGAACTTGACTTTGTCCATGACTAAAGAGAAATCAGATCTCAGGTCAAATAAAACTATTTTCTTCTTCCCTCTCCTTTGATTGTTTTTTTTTTTAAACCAAGCTTTCTCTGTATAGCTCAGGATGGCCTTGAACACCTGATCCTCCCGCCACACACTCCCCAGTGCTGGGATCACAGGAATGTGCCACCACATTGGACTCTTTTATGATCCTCCTGTGTGCAGGGTCCACAGAGATCTGAATTTGAAGGTGTCTACCTGCTCTCAGATAGTCTCTGAACATGACGAGGTGCCTTGGGGATCCGGGCAGGGTGACAGTAGTTGTAGATAATGAGGAAAGTCAATGTTGGCAAAGGACAGCTTTTTCTGGGCCTGTTCTCAGACCTGTGGTTTTACCTTGGCTTTGTTAAGATATCTGGTTGCACACTGGGCTCTGTCCTTGCCTGTTTGCAGTGTCTGGGCACATGAAGCCTTTCTATTAGGTGCTGACTTTCTGCGGCAAGTGGGAAGTGTGGTATAGCAAAAGGGACCCCATGCTTTCCCAGAGAGCTGTGTTATTTTGGGGCCCTGGCGTCTCTTCTGTGGCTCTTTGTGTAGGGGGGTTGAATTTTGAGTTTGATGAGAGGCTGGGGACTATAGTGAACTTTGGTAAGTATACGTGTGTGTGTGTGTGTGTGTGTGTGTGTGTGTGTGTGTGTGTGTGTGTGATGCCTGGAGACACAGTTCTGGAGTCAAGGGCTGATGAGGTCTGGGGCTGTCTGGTCCCCAGCTGACCTCTCCTTGCCCAGTTCATTTCTCCACCCTGGCATCCTCACTGTGGCCTTGACCCCTATCCATTTCCTGCATCCTGGAGAATTCTCTCCATTGTAGTCACGGTCTCTGTGATCTCAGCTCCTTTGGGTAGAGACCCTTTGCTTAATAGATGTGAGGCTGCTGGTCCTGACCTTTCCTCCTGACCCCTGGCCAGAGATAAGCATGGGGATAGATGAAAATGTCAGATTCAGGCAGGAATGATTCCATCTTAGACTCTGCTTGCAGCTGTATGACGGTGGGGGCTGGGCTCTCTCAGGGAAGCAGGCTTGGAGTGGGCTGTCTACTAGCTATGTCAGTGACCTCAAATGATGGCTCACAACTCCTGTACCAGAACCACTTGGCTGGGCATCACATACATGGAAGATAAATGTCTCCTACAGACAGACCTTCAGATCCAGAGCTCTTGGGCACATGCCCAGAGAGCTGTGTTTTCAAAAATCCCACCAGATGTTCTGGTTCATGTGAACTTGGCCTTCGCTCCTGAAAGAACTCTGTGATGTGCATTCTCCCAGCCTGACTTCTGAATGCTTCTTGGGTATAGTTGCGTGGTAGGGGCTTTGCACCAGTGTCAGGTGTCAAGAGATCCTGGATCAGACAGGAAGCTCAGCCATGGCCACTGTTCTTGGAGATACAGTGGGGAGGCAGGTTGAGGTATTGAGTAAAGGACAGAGCACTTCCTAAACTCCTGCTTCCCCAGGCTGCTGCATTCAGTGGTGGGGAGTGCCCATCAGTGGGGCTGGGGGTGGGACTGATCTGTGTGTTTCACTGTGAGATGCAGAAGACATTAAACCACAGGTGGAAAGTAACTGGGTTTGAAGATGCTTATGGAGGTTTCTTTCAAGTCAGAAGTGCTAGGATGCCACAGAATCAGGTAGCTTTACCTGCCTGGGGCTTAAAACAGTGTATGTATACACTCATACTGGTATGCACTCATACCCATCCAAAGACACCTGTGTACTAGCCTTCAGACATGTGTACGTGCATGCATGGATTTTTGTTTTATTGTATGCATTTTCTGTTTTTAAAAGATTTATTCATTTGTTATGTATACAGCGTTCTGTCTGCATATGTGCCTGCACGGCAGAAGAGGGCACTAGATTTCATTACAGATGGTTTTGAGACAACATGTGCTTGCTGGGAATTGAACTCAGGACCTGTGGAAAAGCAGCCAGTGCTCTTAACCTCTGAGCCATCTCTCTAGTCCCTGTATGCATTTTCTTTTCTTTCTTTTTTTTTTTTTTTTTGGTTTTTACGAGACAGGGTTTCTCTGTATTGTTTTTGGAGGCTGTCGGTCCAGCCTGGCCTCGAACTCACAGGGATCCGCCTGCCTCTGCTTCCCGAGTGCTGGGATTAAAGGCGTGTGCCACCACCGCCCGGCAGCATTTTCTTAAGATAGGGTTTCAGGTAACACCTAGGTTGGCTTCAAACTTGCTCTGTAGCTGAGGATGCCTGTACCTCCTGAGTGTTAAGATTACAGGCACACATTACCATGTATTTCATATACAGTGCTGGGGATCAAACCCAGGGTTTCATACCTGCTAGGCAAGTACTCTGACAACTAAGTCACATTTGCAGCCCAGAGAACATGTTTGCCCATGAGACAGTAAGCATGCTTTCACATGCAGATTCATGCATGTGTCCCACACTACACTACACATCTGTCTCAGCCTCCTTTTCTTGGCTGTTTAATTTCCTCCCCAGAGCCAGGGTCTCCCTTTGCACTTTTTAGAATGGTCTCTGGAGTGAGAGCCTTGTTTAATATCCATTAGCTCTCTTATTTCCTGCACCAAATTAAAAGTGTGACCAAAAGTTAATTATTCTAATTCAATTTGGTCCTAATGTGGTGTATGCGGGGATGGGGAGGCCTGGGTGGAGGTGAGCTAGGAGCAGGCAGGGGAGGAGGCATTAGTTTTAATACATCTTAATGGCTCCTACAGGGAGATGCTGGAAGCTCTTTTCTTTGTGATTTCCCTGCTGCTTCTCCAGGTTCAGTCTCTAGATTTTTCTAGGAATTCCAGGGTGCTTTTGGGACCTTGGCTCTGGGAAATAATTGAGAAGATGACAGGCCTGAATAGTGGTGGGAAGGTCCACGTGTGTGCCTGCACACGTGCATGGCATGCTCTGCAGAGGCATTGCTCATGCTTGCTGATGGAACACAGCCCTGACTCTGGTCCAGAAGCATGCAGATAGAAGAGACAGAGCCTCCCTTGTGAGAACATGCTGCTGAACTCCCCGCTGAGTGCTTATCCTTAGACAAGCTAAGAGATTACTGCCTCTGCAAGGGTTGGAGAGCAGCCAGCTCTCTGTGCCTCTATCTCCAATTGCTTTTCAGATCACCCCTGACCCTGCTTCTCTTCACTTGGCCCTCTCTGCTTGTTCCCCCATCCTTTCCTGCTCAGTACTGTAGACGTCAGAGCTCCATCCAATCTAGCTCTCCAGGCTGGGGTGTAGCTCAGTGGTAGAGTATTTTGCCTAGCATGTATAAGACTGTGGATTCAATCTCTGCTCCTACAAGGAAAAAAAAAGCCTAGGGTGTCAAACCAGATTTCTCAGTAACTGTAGCCTCCTCGTGCTGTGTCTGGTCCTTGCATTTGAACAGGAGTCCTGGTAGATCCACTTGCCTGCAGCCCTCACCTCAGGGTCAGTCTCTCTAGGAGGTGACAAATGGGGAAAAAGGGATGAAGAATGACATGGAGCCCTATCTGGGATACATACCCCTTGTTCCTGCTCATACCCTCTTGGCTTAGCACTGGGTTCCATGGTTGCCCAACTGCAAGACAGACTGGAAAATAACAGTTGGTGGTGAGGCCAAGAGGAGCAGGTCGTTCTCTTCCAACCTACCGTTAGGACATCTTTCTCTAAAATGCCAGTGTCTCTTTTAAAGGTGATGCACAAAAGTTATTTTTAAAAATACTCTGCTAGGTACTAATAGGAATTCACCATTTCTGAACATTAAGTGCAATCTAAGTGGTGTTGTGCTGTAAAGGGCTCCTGCCAGCTCTGACCTGAGAGGATTTTCTCTCAGCCAGACCCTGAGCTCTCTTGGACCAGTACCTCATCCCATTCTCACATCCTCCTGACAACCCCGTGGGGGGCACTAAAGATACACCTGCATCAAACCTCTTCACCACTCAAGCATCCTCTGTTAGTGGAAGTTCAGATCTTTGAGTTTGCTTTCAAGTTGGCAAACAGAGGCTAGGAGAGGAGAAATAAGAGGCTCCTAGCAGAGCCCAGACTGAGGGGACCAGAATCTTCTGGATGCCCGTCTGCTGCTCTTTCCTATATACCCCACCACCAGCTGTCCTTTAAGAGCATAGGCAGGTGTTTAACAAACTTGGTCACATATGTCACAGAAGGAAAGGGTATCTTGAAGTTTGCTGCTCCTCCCTTTGCAACGTTCTAGAAGCCTTGCCTCCAAAGATGCTTCCCCTTTTCCTCTAGAGGAAGATGCCAGACAGCTGAGGGGATGGTGGAGGATAGAGAGTGTGTGTGTGGTGTACGTGTGTATGCATAGTGTGTGCATAGTTTGTATGTAGACTGTATAAATGGTGTGTGTGTAAATTGTGTGTATGGTGTGTGTGTGGTACATATGTGCTTGTTGTCAGTGATGGCTTGGGTGAGAGCAGACTTCCAAATGGATTTGGCTGCATGACCTCAGGCATCTGTCTTGTTGGCTTTCACCTTGACTGTGAGGTCTGCAGTTTCTGTTCAGGGCAGCCTCACTTGATCCCATATTGGGATTTAGAGACTTGACTCTGAGCTCTTTATGTGACCTGCTAATCATCTATTTTTCTGTCATGGTTAGAGTCATCCCATAAAACAACTTTGTGGTGTTTTGTTTTCCCCCCAGCTGCCTCCCTTGGCCAAATCTGCCATCCCTGCTCTTTATAGAGAAAAGAACAAAGCTGCCTGATTACTGCTAGAACAGTTTGCCAGGACCTGTGGACAAACAGCACCATGCAGAGGGCTAAGGCACAGCCCACACAGCTCTGCTAATTTGCCCCCAAGTAAGGAAAATATCTGAGACAGGCTCAGAGTCAGACCCTGCCCCCAACTCCCATGGGCCCTCCTTTTCTGAGTCTTAGTTCAAGCTCTGAGGGTCTGGGAGAGCTGGGCTATAGTTTCTCCAGCACAATTGGAATCAAGAGATAAGGATCTGGGCTTGCTAGGTGATGGTAGCTAGGGGAGGGGGTGGCATATAGAGAACTCTAGGACTTGGGGACCTACTGAGAAATCTCTTGATGCTTTCATACCTGATGACAATAGTGGATGGGCAATGGCAACAAACATGGCTTCATGAAAATCAGGGCCAACACTGGCTAACACTCTTCAGAAATATTAGTCTGGGTTGCCCTAATGAGCAAGCTAGCCAGCCTGGCTAAAATACTGGCAGAGTGTGAAGGAAAGAGTAAGTGGCACAGGACAGACACAGATGTCAGTAGTGGTCTCAGGACCCGCAATAGTAACTGGCACTTCTGTACTGATACAGAGACTTACTCTGGAGTCCAGGTTGACCTCAATTCCCCATCCTCCTGTTGTGGAACAGTCTTGTACACTGTGAATATTTATTACTCTCATTGGTTAATAAAGAGCTGACTGGTCAATAGCTAGGCAGGAGAGATTGGGCAGGATGGCCAGACTAGGAGAATTCTGGGAAGAAGGGCAGAGTCAGAAGAGTCTCCAGGAGACACAGAGGGAACAAGACATGCTGGAGGACAGGTGAAACCGTGAACCACATGGCAGCACATAGATGAATAGAAATGGGTTAATTTAAATTATAAGAGCTAGTTAGTAATAAGCCTGAGCCATCAGTCAAGCATTTATAATTAAGTATCCATGTTGGTTATTTGGGAACTGGTGAGCAGGAAAGAAAAGTCTGCCTACATCCTCCAGCTTCAGCCTCCAGAGTTCTGTGTTCCACCATGCCTGATGGTATCATTGCCCTTATCAATTCACTTTCCTGTCTTGAAAACCCAGAGACAAAATGACCACATGTTGGTCTGCACATGACAAGAGGTAGTGATCTACAGCAGACACTACTTCCCCATGCCAGGCAAGCTGCCTCAGTGATCCGACTTGGCAGCTGTTGGGGACTTTCTGGGCAGGTTGCCAGCACCTTACCTCCAGCATTTTTTTTTGGGCTCTCTGTGTTTCTGACTCAGGAATTTCTCTGTTCCAGTTGCTGTGGGAGGATGAAAACCAAACACCTCTGGGTATGACCCTCCAATGGTGGGGCCAGGAGCCCAAGGCAAAAGCCCTTACCTCTTTCTTCCAATGAGATCGCTGGGAGGTGGTTCTTGTGGCTGCCTGTTCTGAGGCTCCTGAGCTTCCCTTAATTCCATCGTTAAACTTCTGTGTATGATACTTGTCTCCCCAGATCCCTTTGTCCCATGCTCCTTTCAGTCTCTTAGGATCAATCATCTTGGTGTCCCAAGTCAATGACCTTCTCTCAATGCCTTGAGTATGTCTGTTTTAAGGAGGACCCGAGCTGAGATCCTGTTTTTCTCCTTTGAGTATATATAACCCTCCCCAAATTCTTCCTCAAACCAGTGGCCCCAGATGAAGATCCTTCTTGTTCCCTCTTGTTATGTGTATGGGTAGCAAGTTGCACTTAGAAAAAGACGTTCAGTAAATGTTTATTAAACAAATGTCTCCTTCCTTGGAATGTCCCCAGGGAGAGAGGAGCCACCAAGGGTGACTGAGTCTCCCACTGGATGCTGCAATCTTGCAGACACTGCAGCCAGCATCCTGGGTGGAAACAGAAGTTCATTATCTGGTCACATCAGATGTTAATCCATCTCAGCAGGGGTCTGGGGGCTCAGGTTGATTTAGCCTTCTCCTTCCCTGCTCCTGTTCCTCCCCCAGCCAGTCATGTTAAGTGAGTTAGTAATGAGAATGGCTAGGAACGGAATTCTATGAGAAAGTAAGCTGCAGCTTAGAGAGCAGGCAGGAGGAAGGGAGAGGGACTTGGTGAGCTGGAGGGGGTTTCTAGGGCTGTCAGAGGGAATGGAGGAACATGGGAGCAGCAAGGAGAGTCAGAAGGAAGCCCTTCAGTCAGAGGCGAGATTTTTTTATCCCTCTTCTTGTATTCTGTCTCCCCATATCCCTTTCTCATCTATGGGTATTTTGTCTTTGTATTTAGGAGGTGGAGAAGAAGAAGAAAGGCAGCAGGGGGGAGAGGAGAGATGTTCAGAGCATGGAATAAATTACTCTTCCTACAGTTCCAAGAGCTCAGAGTCTGGAGTGAGAGCAAGGAGGGAAGGAATGAGGAAGGCACGGGCAGGTAAGAACTGGTGACCTGACCTGGGTACTACCCACTCCATCACTTTGACTTCTCAAGTCATCCCAGGCCAACCAGGGTGAGTGAGCCATTCTGTTGGACAGATTGTGGTTAAGGTACAGAGTAAGTCAGGCTGGGTACCAGTTACAGGGAAAACACATTTGCCACACATCCTGTGATGTGTTCATGCATGAAGACTGATCTTCATTAGCTGGGGAAACATTTAGCCAGTTAAGTGCTGGCCACAGGAGCATGAGGGCCTGAGTTTGAGCCCCAGAGTCCATGGGAAAGCGCTGGGAATGATGACACTCAACTGTAATTCCAGAACAGGAGCGGTGGAGACAGCCAGGTTCCTGTCTTCCTGCCTAGCTAGCTTAACGTACTTGGTGAGTTCTAGGACAATGAGATGTTTCAGAACACAGAGAGATGAACAGTGCCTGCTGAATGGCATAAAAGGTTGTCCTGTAACCCCCCCCCCATGCACAAAATGTACACATCACACACATAAACAGACACAGATACAAACACACAGACACGCACACACAGAGACAGACAGACAGACAGACAGACACACGCACGCACGCGCACACACACACACACACACACACACACACGATCGTTCCACATACCAGCAACCCCATTTTTCAAGATGAGTCAAACGAGACCTGGAAAGGCAAGCTGAAGCTTGGGTGAAAATACTGAGGGTTTGAATCCACAAGCAGAGGTCCTGAAGCCCCATGCCCATCACCATGGAGGGTCTGAGGGGTATAACTGTGGGCGGTTCACACCCTTGGCACGGATTCACTCCTTTCAGGTAGCCAACCTTCCTCACAAGCTTCGCATGTCTCCCCCAGAGTCTTCTGCTTTTGTGTCTTCTTACAATGCCCTGTGCCCCTTCGCTGACACCTCACCCCACCCCACCTCCATTTGCAAACAGCTAAGTGGAACTCAGCTGGAGCCTGATGTTTGGTGGTGATGAGGTTCCCAGCAGGGGAAGGGTTTGATGTGTGAAGACAGAGACCAAAGCAGCAACATTAAATCTTCCTGCTCAGAGCTGTTGTGAGCAGGCCCTGGCAGGCGCTCCGTGAGGGCAGCAGTGGAGAGAGCCACAACCAACAGAAGCCCCAGGGGGTTAAATGCCAGCCAAAGGGCGGCTCACACAGGGCTGATGGGATAATGGAAGGGGGTGTGTGCCTGGCCATTACTAGGCAGACTGGATAATAGGAGCACAGGGCAGAACTCACAGGCGCCTAGCTGCCTGGGAGGCTGGGTTCTGGTTTTGACTTTGCCACACAGTCATGGGAAGGATTTATGCTTCACAATCAGCTTTTTAAATCAAATAATTAACTTGTATGCATGTCTGTGTATGCTATGTGTGTGCCCATGCATGTAGGAACAGGAGTCAGCCTTAACTGCTCCTCAAGTGCTAACTAACCATCTCTCTTTTTGAGACAGGGTCTCTCACTGGCCTGGGACCTACCAAGTAGGCTAGACTGGTTGACCAGAGAGCCTCAGAGCTCTGCCTGCTTCCTCCATCCCGGAGTTGGAGTTACAAGTGTTCATGGCCATGCCCAGTTTTTGAAAACATGGGTTCTGGGATCTAACACAGGTCCTCACGTTTGGAGAACAAGCTGCTTTGTTTTTTGTTTTTTAAATGTGTGGCAGCACAGGGGTGGGGTTTGCATTGTTTTTTTTTATTCCAACTAAATGAGGCTCTAATTAGCAGCTTCTCCAGGAAAGGGACTGTATTTTAGCAGAAGTCTTCCATGTACCCAGCTGAACAGGACCAGCCTGAATCTTGCCTCCCGGGGCTCCTGCTCTAAAATGGAAAAGAGATGACCAACAGATCAGAAAAATACCTGCATCATTACCATGGCAGTCCATGCCGTGAAGGACCGGGTGAGTGAGGGGCTACCACACAGCACTACATGGAGATCTGAAGCTGAGCTATGAAGCAGGAACCAGTAGGAGAAATGGGAGGAAAAACTACCAGAAGATGGGACTGGAAGTGTGCAGCAGGGGAGGGAGGGTGGAGCGTGGTGAGTTTAATAAAGGCACGGGACACTCACATGGCTAGAGGCTAAGACTGGCAGGTGGCTGGGGCTGGAAGTGCCCTGGCTGGACTCCAGCTGCCAGGATCTGGGCGGTGGAGCTGTCCAAGGTTCCAATCAGGAAAGCACACTAATGAACAGGGAGCTCTTGGTACTGCCAGGCGGCCAAGATGGGCGCTTAGGATGATGGCAGCTTCAGGGTAGAGTGGACACCGGACTTTTCTCTCTGAAAACACCCCAGCCATTCCAACTCTGGCCCCTGTGTGTTGCAGCACATCAGTTTTCCTGACCCTTGTTTTTGTTTTTCTGAATATCTTATCTCATCTCTCTTTTCCCGTGTCTGAGGGAGCTAGGGACAGAAAAGACACTGCCTGCCACAGAGAAATGGAAAATAGTGAATTTTACTCCAGATACAGGCAAGGAACTCAGTGCTCACTAGCAAGTCACTCCGTCTCCCTCTGTCCACTCATCCACGGGCAGAATCTGAGATCAAGGTCGTGAGATGGAAACCTGAGGCCACAAGGAAGGCAGCAGAAGGGTGAGAAGCGGGCCAGACTTGAGGGATCAGGGAGAACAAGGGGAGGGGTGAGCTGTGATGACTGGCGGGTCCGTGCCTTGTATAAATGGTGGTAGTGATGTGGAACCAGGTGGCTACTGAACACGGGTGAGGGGCCTCATCCCACAGTCGCCTGTCTTCTCCTAGGAGGTGCGAAAGGCCTTTCTCAGATGCTTGGAGCGTATTTCCCACCATGTCCTCCTGCCTTCCTTCTTCTCCACCCCCTTTAGTCTCTGTTGTTTCTCAGTGTAGCGTCTATGTCCATATCATCAGTACCTAGGATTTTAGGAACCTACCCAGTTTAGGACCCACAATGAGAAATTTTATACTATATTTGTGGGAGATAGCTATACTAACTGAATTACATCTTCTGTCTAAAAAGTGTGGGAGGGAGGATTGAGAGATGGCCTCATAGTTAAGAACGTCAGTGCTTTTCTTGTAGAGGACCTGGGTTTGGTCCCCAGCACCCACATGGCAGCTCACAACCATGTGGAACTCTAGGTTCGGGGGATCTGATGCTCTCTTCTGGCCTCCTCACTCACATAGTATGTAGACATGCATGCAGGCAAAATATTCAAACACTCAAAATGAAAATAAATGAATATTAAAATTTTAAATTATGTTCATTCATTTTGTGTGTGTGTGTGTGTGTGTGTGTGTGTGTGTGTACTTGTGCACCACAGCAAGTGTGTGGAGATCAGAAGCCAACCAACAGGAGTTGGTTTTCTCCCTCTACCACAAGGTACTCCTGTCATCAGGTGTGGTGACTTGCACCCTCACCTAATAATTTTCAAAGAGGTGTAGGGAATTTGTATCTTTAGGTAAATATTCTTAAATAACTGAGTAGTAAATGCCCCTTCTCTTTAAGTCCACCCTAACCCCATCAATTTGATAGATCTATAAAGGGATCTAAAGAGGACAAAGCTTGCTCAATATGGAGTCTTTTGTTATGGACTAAAAGCTACATCCTCTAACTTGGAATGTATTCTAATTAGTCTTCCTTGACAAATTTGTGGCTGGGAGGGTGGATTTAGAATCACCATGGGAACACACCTGGGGTGAGCCTGTGATCACATTTCCAGAGAGATTCAATTGAGGGAAGAATGACTCAGCCTACACTTGGGTGACACTGTTCCACAGGATGGGGTCTTAGACTGAACAAAAAGGAAAAAAGGAGCTGAATGGCAGAGCTCACCTCTCTCTGCTTCCTGGTTGCAGATACAGTGGGACCAGTCTCTCTCTGCATCGACTAGGGCTGTTCTTACAGCCATGCCTTCCCTGCCATGATATATCCTGCTCTAAAAATAACCCCTCCTTTCGGTCACAACAACAAAGAAAAGAACTAACATGGAGAGTCTACCATGTCCTCTACCCAGTGGACATGAAGATATATTTAAAAGCCACAGTCCCCTGGAGAGGTGCATAGTCTGGAGTAAGGAGGGAGCAGTCCCATGCCCCTAGGATATAGCATGGTGGTCATTAGAGCTTGCACAGACTCCCAAAGAAGCACAGAAGAGGAACCCCTAAATTTTTTGAAAATACCACCAACATAGAATCCTTTAAAGAGCCTGACCACAGCTTCCTATGGCCTTAGCAGGCAAGAGGCTGCCTTGTACTCCAAGCCCCATCTTGGTTGGTGGTCTCAGTACAGGTGGAGGGTCCGGGGGCTGAAGACCATCATTCTTTACTGGGTCTGGGAGCCAGGTAGTACAGGTGGTGTCCTGAGCTGCTGCTGGCAGAAGAAGGCTGCTTGGCAATTTACAGCAGCTCTCTGGTGTCTAATTGCACCATCAGTGCTCGGTGTTGCAGGGCCGGGGAGAGGATGGATGAGCTGTTGTTATGGGCCTAATGGCCGCAGTAAAGTGAGGTGTTCAGAGTGTTAAATAGCCGAGCCCACCATGCTTAGGACCATCCTTCAGCTCCATGTTGGGGCTGGTAGCTGTAAAGCCAGCTGGCTTGAGATGAGGCTCCCAGTAAACTCTCTGTACTCTGTGTCAGCTCCCCAGGCCTGCAGAGGGGCGTGTGTGGAGAAAGTCCTAGAGATGCAGGCACCTTTCTCCTGCTTCACATTAGCAGCTCCCAAGTGAAGGGATATGCTCCACCCACACAGGGGACTTTCATGGGGCAAGTTTTTATACATGTCAACTGACTGAGGACACCGCCGCCCAGAGAAAGCTTTATCTCCATCTCCATCTCGGAGCAGGCAGGTCACACTGGTCTCATAGTATCAGCATTTTATTAGCAGGACTGGCAGTAGCTGCTCAGTGGGAGTGGAAGGGGCAAATGCCTTAGTTCCTAAGTGGAATTATGGCTAGAGGGTACAGCCTGGGCAAAGGACTGGAGGGGCCCAAGAGGGTGAGCTGTTCACTGTACTGTTATGGGAGGAGGAGGGGTATAGGATGAAGGCCTTTTGGGTTTTCATCCTACTCTTAAGCATGAGGGTCTCTGTTGAGATGGGTGGGAGAGGCTGGGAGCTCATCTAACATTTCTTAGATGCCTTTGACTTTACCCTTTCACTGACTCCATTCTAGGGATAGAGAAGGATGAATTAGGGTCTCCAGGTATATCAGAGGCTATGCCATCTTGTTGCTTGCTAGGGAAGAAGATGGTGGAGATAATTATATCTTGTTGGGCATAGTCAGGACTTCTAGGAGCAATAGGCAACCTGGGACAAGGACCACCACCATGTACTGCTCTGCCGATCACATCCATCCCTGGTTGGCCTCTGTAACTGCTTCCATGTTCCTCAGCCCTGGCATCTCCTTCCTGTTTCACTCAGGGGAATTTGAACCTTGGTCTAAGGCCAGAGGCTGGCCAATCATGTACAGAAGAGCCACTTGCTCTGGAATAGGCAGCCACCTCCTCTATCACTCCATTAACTTGATATCCGAATGCATTTAGCTTGCACCATCCTCCTTCATGGCCTCAATCTGCAATTTCCCCTAATTAATGATTGCAAATTGCTAAGTAACGAACCACTTGATGGTGCTGCTAATAATAATAGTTGAGAGTGGATGAAGACTGGGGTGTGGGAGAGGAAGGTCATTAGTCTGCTGTTGCAGGACTCTGTTTTGGGGACAGGCTCAGAGGCCTACAACGAAGGCAGGGAGTGATAGTGAGAGAACTGCGGGCTCCATCTGGTCCTCACCAGCTTGGACGGAAGGAAGACCTGAAGCTAAGCGACTCCCATGGCTCCAGGATCCCAAGTAACGTGGTTGGGAACTAAGGGAGGATGGGTCAGAGCTTTTCCTAGAGCTTGCATGGGGTTTACCCAGTTAAAGCAGAGAAGACATCCACCAGACACCAATCCTGGATGGCGGAGTGTATGGGGCAGGGGAGTAGCTGGCTGGACCATGAGTAAAAGCTGAGAGTAGATTCCAGGTTCTCAGGGTGGGCCCAGGCCATCAGGAAACACCCACATGACAGCTGGGTTCCAAGGCAGATGGCAACCATACTCAATGGCAACCTGACTTGTGGGTGGGTAGGGGAAGGGCAGCTGCTTCTGTCTGGAGGATGCATGGACAAGCTCACAGGGAGAGTACTCTTGTGATTGGAACTCACAATGAGAAATAGTTGCTCATACCAGCTCCACCTGCTTGAGAGGACGCCCTAAGTCCTTCTGGGCCAGGACCAATGGTAGCTTTCAGAAACCCACCTGCACTCCATGAAGTGCAACAGCGTTCACCAGTTCTTCCCAGTGTCCTGGTCTCACTGTGTGTGTGTGTGTGTGTGTGTGTGTGTGTGTGTGTGTGTATCAACTATCTGTTATCTTTGGTCTGCTCAGGTCGTGACTTCCCATCCCTTCTAGTCTTAAGGAGAATGCTAGACATCTAGGGTGGTCTGAATAACTATGGCCCCTATAGACTCATGCGTTTGAATGCTTGGCCCATAGGAAGCAGCACTATTAGCAAGTGTGGCTTTGTTGGAGGTGCCTTTTTGGAGGAAGTGTGTCACTGTGAGGGCAGGCGTTGAGGTCTCATATGCTTAAACTACGCTCAGCATGGTACACAGTTGCTTCTGCTGCCTGCAGATCTGGATGCAGAACTCTTGGCTCCTCTCCAGCACCATGTCTGCCTGCACACCACCATGTCCCATCATGATGATAATGGACTAAATCTCTGAAACTCTTAAGCCAGTCCCAATTATATGTTTTCCCTTATAAGAGTTGTGTGATCATGGTATCTCTTCACAGCAATAGAAACCCTAACTAAGACAGCATCTGTAAGAACCTCCTCACACTATGTGTAGGCAAGGCAGTTCTTCAAATGTCCTTCTTAAGACACAGTTGGGACACTGACCTCTAGTCAAATTCCCCGGAAACTGGGGGCACGGTGGAGAGCCGGGTAGGATTTAGCACTTCTTTTGGTGGATTTCGATGCAATATCATTCCACAGTTGTTAATCATCCCCCACAACTGTTGGATAAGTTTGTTTGTTTGTTTTAATCTCTAAAATATTTGACACTAAACAACTATTGGTGTGTGTGTGTGTGTGGGTGCCCAAATTCAATAATAAGCTGTTTTCTGGATCCCTCCCTTCAAGCAGCCTTTGTGAGCACACAGCCTTCTTGCCTGGTTGTAAGCAACACTAGAAGCCGGTGTGCATCTAAATATTTCCATTGTGCCTCTTTAGTCTCCAGTGCTATCACTTTTAATAATGACAGCAGGTTAACATGACCACCACTCATTTCCCCCATTGTTGGGTGTTTGGGCGGTGGTCACATGTCCAGTCTCCCAAATAGCGATGGCATCGATATCTTTGTCAAATGACTTTTTTTTTCTTTTCTGCCTGTGTCTCTCTTGAGATTTTTTCCCACGGATGTTTTTTCCCAAAAGGAGAATTACCAGGTCAAAAGGCATAGCAGTTTTGTAGCTCACATCCCCCATTGCCAGATGGCATTTTGAAGATAGCACTGCTCCACTTTTAGCTGGACACATAGGAATGGACAGACATGGTTGGGCCAGT